TAAGTGATACATAATAAGTAAGTAAAGGCCAAGAAACAAAATTATTTTTTAAAGAGAACTAATTTTCTGAAGGTTAACAAGACCAAAAAAGCTATCAATAAGTAAATGTTGGCAGCTATTTTGTTTTTTAACTCATAATAACAGTTCCTTTAAAAAAAAAAAAGACTACTGATATAGCAATTCATATGTATTATCTAATATGAGCCTCACAATAGAATTCTCAGTTCTAAAGTCATTTCTGTGCAACAAATGTTTATGTCATACCCATTCTGTCATTCTATTGATTCGAATTCTTAAGTCTTGTTTTTAAAGATGGTTGTGAGGCCCTGGCCGGTTTGGCTCAGCGGTTAGAGCATCGGCCTGCAGTCCCGAGAGACCCGGTTTCAGTTCCCGCTAAGGGCGCGTGCCTCGGTTGCAGTTTGTCCCGGCCCTGGTTGGTCGTGCGGGTGGCGGCCACTCGATGTGTCCCTTACATGTCGATATTTCTCTCTCTCTCTGTTCCTCTCTCTCCCTTCCACTCTACCTGAGCAAAAAATGGAAAAATGTCCTCAGGTGAGGATTAAAAAAAAAAAAAAAAAGATCGTTGTGAGAAGATATATGTCTTTGACTTAGCTTATATAATAAAACTGACTTTGAAATTTTTCTAAAAACTGGAAAAATGGCCTGGCTGGTATGGTTCAGTGGCTGAGCATTGACCCATGCACTAATAGGTCGCTGGTTAGATTCCCAGTCAGGACACATGCCCAGATTATGGGCCCGATCCCCAGTGGGGGGGGGGGTGTAGGAGGCAGCCAATCGATGTTCTCTCTCATCGATATTTCTATCTGTCTCCTTCTCCCTTCCTCTCTCCCTAAAATCAGTAAAAAAATATTTTTTTAAAAAAACTGGAAAAATGGGAGACTTATAGCTAAACAGAATAATCAATTTACATGTAACTAGATATATAAATGACTTAGACTATTCTCATTTCAATAGATTCAAGAACTTGTATTCTCCTGTGAGTAGAGCTAGGTTTCAGAGATGTTAGCTCTTATCAAAGTTCAGTATTGAAGGATTGCCCAAATTAGCACTGTTTAATTACAAGAGTATTTTTATTAAATCTTAAAATCATGTTTAAATTTACTTACTCAGATGGAAACATTTTCATATTAGATACTTTTCCCATAGCAGCTATATGCTTGCTCTATCTGAACAAAAACACTTTGGAAATTTATTTCAGTACAATCTCAAATTTTGCTTTCAGATTAATTTCATTTATAGTCTAAACTAATAAAATGAATCGTATGAAATATAAGTGGTATAAACCTATGTGCAAGCTAATTATATATCAAATATTTATTAAAACCTTAAATGCACTGGCTGGGAAGCACAGTGGGGTACAGCGTCATCCCAGTATGTCAAGGCTGTGGGTTTGATCCCCAGTTAGGGCGCATACAAGAAGCAACCAGTGAATACATAAATAAGTAGAACAAATCAATGTTTCTTACTCTCTCGCTTTAATCAATTTTTTAAAAATTAAAAAGTCATGAAGTGCTAGGCCTTGTGGGGAACACAAGATGAACAAGACATTGTCCTCAATAGAAAGAGAATCCATTGGGGAGTTAAGCTAACAAAGGAAAAAGATACATGACAATATAAAGTTAAATAAGATTTTCAGATAAAAATGAAAGAATTATGACAGGATAGTATATGACTATCAAATTAACAATTTTCTTTAGAATGTTCACTGGGCTCAGAAAAAGGGAAAGTTGTTCAGGCACAAGTCAAAGTCCTGGCTGAGGAGGGCCAAAGGTGTGGCAATATAGGCAGAGTTCATTGCAGAACCAGGTTCTATGTTTCAGTACTGGAAGCCTTGGGAATCCAGTCTCACTGATCATCAGCTGTGAAAGACTAGCCCCACCCTCAAAGCAGGACCTGGTCCATATTAATAAATTAATAAGCGTATTGCATTCCATTTCAATCTCCCATAATCCAATCCCCCACTCTTAAGTAAGCCTTTTTTTTAATACTCACTTGAGGATATTTTTCTATTTATCGTCAGATAGAGTGGGAAGGAGAGAGAGAGAGAGAGAGAGAGAGAGAAAGAGAGAGAGACATCGATGTGAGAGAGACACATTGGCTGCCTCCTGCATGACCCCGACCAAGGCTGGGGACAAACCACAACTGAGGTACATGCCCTTTACTGGAATTGAACCTGTGACTCATTGGTCTGCGGGCTGACACTCTAACCACTGAGCCAAACTGGCCAGGGCAAGCCTTCATTTTTAGTGCCTATGTAACTATGTCCTATAGGAAGTTTGAGTCTCCTCATGTTTGAGGGAAAGAGCTCATTATGATGCTTCTATCCAGTTTCTTGGGTAGGTCCTCTTGTTCCCCCTTCTCCAAAGTCATTTTTCTCTGGGTAAAGGAGCCCTGAGAATGTGAATGGACTTTGGGCCACAATTCTTCACTTCCATACTTACTGACCACAAAAACCATCTCGCGTATCAGAGGCTCTCTTCTTGAATAATCACAGAATAGCTGCAAGTGCTAAACTGAGGGAGAAATTACTTCAAGAAACCCCTTTGTCTTTCTATTACCATATCCACACGAGGATGACAAGCATCTCTAACTGCTAAAAACAACAGGGGTATTTTGTGGGGAAAACTGTCTTTATTGACCTTTTAATTTCCTGTAGTACCTGTGAGAAGCTAGTGTATTTTTCCATGATTATTCCCTCAACTCCCACCAAGCAAAATATTTAAGAAACATTTGTGGATATGTCCTTCTTTCTCAGATCCCTGGGAACATTCTCTGACCAGCTTCACCTTAGCAAAAACAGCAGCCAAGAATTGATGGCCACACCTTCCTGGGCATTCTCTCCCACTTACTCCACTTTCTGTCTACTCTGCTCCTGAGCCAAACCTGCCAGGGCTACTTTCTGTCTACTCTGTGGAACAGACTCATAACCGAGAGAATTTCCAATTGGTCAGAACCTTTCGAATGTTCGGGAAGACTCTTAACCATCCAGAACCCCCTCTTAGGTGTCATAAGAGATCTGGCTGCTCAGAAACTCCCAAACAAGTCAATGTAGTCCTTGAAGCCACCGCCTAAGCTAAAGGAAACACAGGATCGTCGTGTGGACGATGATATGGTGCTATCAATATATTCAGTGTGGTTCTTGGTGCTGCTTCAATGGACTTGAGTTTAGGCCTAGGAAACATTTCCTGCATGAAGTGGAGATGCCAGGAGTCCTGACTCAGTGTGTGTTATTCCATGTGCCCCTAGGGTTGATCTAGCTGATCAGACTGAGTGCTTTTTCTTCCTTGCCCAATAAATGCCCCTCCCAAAACTACACATGACTGGTAAGAACCATCCCAGGTAACAAAGGTGTGCTCTTTGGTCAAAGGAAAAAGAGTATATAAGTAACTAAAACACCAGAGCTGGAAATTCAACATGAGCTCATTCCTCCATGGGAGTATCGGCTTGGCCAAGGGTCAAGTCAGAGCACCCCCCCCCCATAGGGAAAACTGTCTTAAAGAAGAGCGAGGTGGGAAGTAGGATAATCACTTTGCCACGAAGCACATCTTGCTGTACTGTCTCTGGGGAAAATTCTGGTCCCATTAACAGGATTCCAAGGCAAAGTCCTTCACAGTAGCTATAAGAAACATGAAATGAGTTCCTAAACTCACCAACCCGGTTTGGTGGAACTCAACTAACAGTTGTTATATTTAACACAGTAATACTCCCAGTAAAAGAATATGCCTATCAACAAGAGCCAAAACCTAAGTCTATAATTCTTAGTACAAAATTCTGAAAACCACATTCTAAGAAAAACTGGCTTCACTTAAGGATACGAACAGAGAGATCAGACAGAATCATAGAATAAACAAAAGCTGTGGCAATAGATGATCTGAAAGAGACAAGAAACTACCCTTGTTCTTTGGGAACTGAAGCAAAGGCTGATGAGAGAGAACTGGAGACACGGAAATCTTATCTAAACCTGCACAGAGTTTAACAGTGTTCACACACGAACAATTGATTAATATTACTCTCTGAAAACTGAAATGTTTACAGTTTTAACAACAAATTGCCAATAACATAAAGTTCACTTCACCCTCCTTGTAACAAAAGACTAAAGGTGTGAAATGATAGTATTAATACTTTGTTTTTCTTAGGTTACATTTTTAAAAGCACTCTTGCCTATCACTGTGGCAGAATCTGCCAGACCCAGCAGCTTTGTGTTAAAGGTTACTGTGCATTGTCAAACTGTATTCCCAGCTCCGCAAGCCAAGGTGAGTGAAAGGGCTTTATCAGGGGAAGCAAAGGATGGACGTTCTGCTTTGGAATTCAATGAGACAGAACTCCCATGCTGCTTTCCTTTAGGGCAGGTATGAAATATTTAGTCTTCCCACGTACTTTATAAAATCACCTGGTTGCTTGGCATTTACAAGAGACTTCCTTTCAGTTATAAAAACAAAACAGGTAAATAAGTTTAAAAAATATTCCCCTTAATTATCAGAAGAAATAATCTACAAAAATTCTCTCCCTTCCAAATTGTTCACAACGTTCAAGAATTGTGATCTGCTGGAGTCTGCTTTAACTATAAATGTTTAATAAGAGTTTGACACCGGAATACTGGTCTGGTTCTTACCATAGGGAGTGGCAAATAATAGAGCAGGAACTGAGATGCAGAGCATCTGGTGTTCTTAGATCACAGGTGAATGGAAAAATTGCTGGGCAGAAGCAGCTGGCTTTGAGCTATCTATACAGGCACACAGATCTATGTGGCACTTCTAGCTAATAAATACCAGTGAAGATGCATTTGAACTAAGTCAAAATTCAACTGGCTATTGTGGAAGGATGACAGTACTCGAGTTCAACAGAATAGTTACAGCCATAGAACAAATCGTCGTACACAATAACCTCTAAATTGTGATGATCTATTGTACTTTGAGCTCATTGTGAAATACAGAGCTCAATGAAATTCTGAGTCCTTTCACTCCTACCACAGGCCTTACCTGCAAGCAAGTGAACGGAGCTGAAGCTCTTCTCCAGTTTACCCAGAAGTACAGTGAGAAAACAGTCTGAAGACAGAGAAGCAACATCCTGGGAGCTTTGATCATAAACTACAACCTTCTGACTGTAATCAATGTCGACCTAAAACGCAAATGTAAGGATGTCAGGAAGGAAGGAGAGAAAAACAATAAACTACTGGTGCTGGAGCAAACAAGTGTTTTCAATTAATAAATTGAATAAAAATGAGATATAGTCAACTTAGTGGATAAACCTAGCATATATATGGTTTAAATGCTTGTAAAAAATCAACTTTTAAAAGGCAACCTGATTCTATTTCTGCGTAGATGTGCTCAAAACTACTTGGTTTTAAATCCTAGCACTATAAATGGGTATAGCATAAAAATAAAATAAGCAAAATTGCCCTGGCTGGTTTGGCTCAGCGATTAGAGTGTTGGCCCGCAGACCAGAGAGTCTCGGGTTTGCTTCCCACTAAGAGCACGTACCTCAGTTGCAGTTTGTCCCCGGCCCTGGCTGGGTCGTGCGGGTGGCAACCACTCAATGTGTCCCATTCATGTCAATGTTTCTCTCTCTTTCTCTCCCTCCCACTCTATCTGAACAAAAAAAAGAAAAAAACAAGAAAAAAGAAAAACTGCCCTGGCCGGTTTGGCTCAGCAGTTGGAGCGTCGGCCCACGGACTAGTGAGTCCTGGGTTCAGTTCCCACTAAGGGCATGTACCTCAGCTGTAGTTTGCCCTGGCCCCGGTTGGGGTTGTGTGGGTGGCAACCACTTGATGTGTCTCTTTCACATCAATGTTTCTCTCTCTCTCTCCCTCCTGTTCTATCTGAAGATAAAAATGCAAAAAAAAGTGTCCTTGGGTGAGGATATTAAAAAACTAAATAACCAAAATAAATATAATCCTTGAAATAAAAAAAAATGTTTTTAATCCTCACCCGAGGATATTTTTCCATTTATTTTCAGACAGAGTAGGAGGAGGAGAGGGAGAGGGAGAGAAACACAAACGTAAGAAAAGACACATCAATCGGTTGCCCCCTGCACCACCCTGACCAGGGTTGGGAACTGAACCGCAACCAAGGTACGTGCCCTTGATTGGAATCAAACCTGCGACTCTTTGGTCTGCGGGCCGATACTCTAACCACTGAGCCAAACCAGCCAGGGCGAAATAAGAAACATTTAAAAAGTGGTTTCTATATAACACAAAAGAAATTAGTTGTTTAATAAAATTAAAACATGAACTCATTTTCATCCCTGAAGAAAAGGAATAGCCTTACCTATCACAAAGATGGCATGTGTATCCTAGGAAGAGCTCCTTGAATATAATATCCTTACATCCTGACCAAAGTTACCCTACCTTCCCACAAAGCAAAAGCACTTTCTAATATAATTAGTTCTACCATCTTTCTAGGGCAACAGAAAAAAATGCTTTCCTTTCATTAAATTTGTAGACAATACAAAATAATGTATTAATACATTATCAATAAAATAAAGTAATTATTAGTATAGTTACTGCCATGGCGTATTTGGCTCAGTGGTTAGAGTGTCAGTCCCAGGACTGAAGTGTCTTGAGTTTGATTCCTGGTCAAGGACATGTACCTGAGTTGCAGGTTCAATCCCCAGCCCTGGTCAGGGTCGTTTGGGAGGCATTTAATCGATGTGTCTCTCTCACATCGATGTCTCTCCCTCCCCCTTCCTCCCTTCCATTCTATCTAAAAAAAAAAAAAAAAAAAAAAAATCAATGGAAAAATATCCTCAGGTGAGGATTAACAAAAAATATATATATAATTATTATTATTAACTATAAGTTAGTATTAGTGTCTAAACTAATAAAACAATTTTAGCAAGCCATTCATGGAAAAACAGCACCTGACCAAACTAAAACAAGTTAACCTCTCTGTATAGTTTAGCAGTATTCTTCAATGTGACAATATGGTTATAAATTCTTTTGAGGTATCATAAGGTACCAAAATTTAAAAAGCAACCAAACTTCCTCAAATTATTTTCTCCCCTTAAAAAGGAGGCTTCGTTTCAAATTATTCCCCATTCAGTGTGTCCATTTATTGTAAAAAAGAAAGAAAGCATTTACCTTATGTTTCGCTGAATGCTGGATGAGTTCCGTAATTAACACTTTGTCCTGTTGCAACCTTCGCTTCATAAGCTTGGAGCAGTTGATATTAATGGCTTCCAAAATGTGCGATGTATTGTATTCCACAAATGGCCGGCTATCAATTAGCAGCACTTTTTCCGTTCCACTTTCCAGCAGAGCCACCAAGCGCTCAGTAACAATTTGAGTCCCAATCATCTCATGGGCCATGACAACAGTAAGTGCTCTTTTCCCACCTCCTCCTTTAATTTGCCACGATGATGTAATGGTGTTGTGCTCAAAGGCTCAGCCACTCCATTGTACTAACATGTATGAGGTCAGGCTGGTGGTGACTGGCAAAAGGAGAGTTAAACCCATTTTCAGCAAGAGCCCTCCAAGTGAATGTCTCTTTCTCTTTCCTGCTGATGTGCTCTTGCAAAGGACTCCTTCCACAAAGCAGCCCCTCACATTTGATTCATAAAGAGATGACTGGAATAACCATTCCACAACAAAAGATGCTTTGGGGCAGCCAGTGCATTACATCATTCTTTACCTTTGGTCCCTCACTCCAACAGCTTGACACTGGACTGAAAGCCTACACAAAGAGAGACAGACAGACAGAAAACAAAACATGGGGTCAAAAAAAGAAAGAGCGTCGGATTAGACAGAGTGTATGATTCACAATATTTACTCCATTAATCTAATTCCATACTTGATGCACTATTTCATTTGAACAAACAAAAAAGACATTTGGGTATGGCTTCAGAAAAGCATACTAATGATAATTCAGTTTTACCCCAAAATATAGAAACGCAGAGAAGACAAAACCAAACATATTCATGAATTATAATCACCAGGGACCTGGAACTAGATGAGTTATAGCATGAAATTAAAAGAGCTATTTAAGCTGCTTGAAGTATTATTATTCCAAATGGGAATCCTCCACTTTCTTTGCTTATTTCTTAAAAATTAACATAAAGAATAATAGCCTAGGACCAAGGTAGCAATCCCCTATTTTCAGAACAACAAATAAAAACCTTTTCTGATGGCTTGAGAATTACTGTAATGGTATGAATGAATGTGTGTGCATGCACACACACACACGTGAATGCCCATATACACAATCAAAGTCCAAATAGTACACCCTTCTTTAAATTGCCCTTGAGGAGGAAAGGAAAGGCAGAAAAAACGGGAGGTTCTATAAATTTCAGCTGCCTTTTTAAAGAAGAGGAATAAAAATGCCTGATATTCTTGCCATACTAACTGCTGAGCTAATTGATGGGCCTGTGATGTACCCAGCTCCATCCAAGATAGTCTCAGTTATAATGCTGCCCAGTCCCTTCAAACCCCCATCTCCCTGGAGCTCCCTGACCCTTTATAGACTTACCCATCACTTTCTTGTGCCTCATTCTTAAGGGAACCACTGATCCAACTTAGAAAATCTCACACCTTAACCTGGGACACGAGGACAGCAATCTATACATACAGAGCCCTTCATACTAGGCCCAGTGCTTCTCTGTTCTTGCCTATAGCTTGGACCTCACCCTGACCTGCAATATTCTCAGATTCCTATCTGCCCTGGTCCAGCTTTGCTTATATGAAAATTTCTACTACATAAAACTAGATGTCTAAGGGCACTCAACTTCTAGAGGATAAACTACTTGATGGCAGAGGTTTTGTATTACATTTCTTACATACACAGTGTTTTGCACTTAAGATCATTTACACTGTTATAAGTAAAATCCTCCTTGTTCCAAAAACAGTTTAAGATACTGAATAAATATCTCATTAACTGAGTTCAGATCACTATTATAAAGCCCTCAAACATCACTGGGCCCCACTTCTTTTTATTTTTATTTTTTTGTTGTTGAAAGTATTACAGATGTCCCCTTTTTTTCCATTGACCCTCTCCTTCCCACTCCCACCCACCTCCTGCTTTCCCCAGCCTAATGTCTGTGTCGACTGGTTGTGCATATATGCATATAAGTTCTTTGGTTTATCTCTTCTTACCCTCCATCCCTCTAGGGTTTGTCAGTCTGTTCCCTGCTTCCATGACTCTGGATTTCTTTTGGTCAACAGCTTATTTTGTTCATTATATTCCACAAATAAGTGAGATCATGTGGTACTTGTCTTTCTCTGACTGGCTTATTTCACTTAGCATAATACTCTCCAGGTCCCTCCATATCGCCTCCATGTCGTCTCAAAGGGTAAGAGATCTCTCTTTCTTACAGCTGCCTAGTATTCCAGTGTGTAAATGTACTGCATCTTTTTTATCCACTCATCTATTGATGGACACTTGGGCTGTTTCCAGATCTTAGCCACTGTAAATAGTGCTGCTATGAACATAGAGGTGCATATATTCTTCCTAATTGATGTTTCACTTTTCGACTTACAAATTAGAAACTGAGGCATGGAATAGAGGTAGCAGGACATAAAGAGAAGTGGCCCTGCCATTTACATGTTACATAACTTTGGACAAATCATGCAATCTCTCTGAACCGGTTTCCTCATCTAGAAAATGTAGATATAATATTGGCCTTGTCTCCTCACAAAGTTTGTTTTGAGGGCAATTATCTAAGTTCTCCAAAGTGAGTAAGTGAAAAAGCAACTACACATCATACAGAGAAAGGAGGGAAAATGCTGTACAGAGCTGCCCTGCATCTGGAATCTAAAAGACACTACTCAGCAGATAAAAACAGAAGCAATTCCATCATCCTACAGTCCAGCTTCAACCAAGCTGTGTCCTTTATACAGAGCCAGACACAGAGTTAGAAGGCACCTGAGAAATCATCTCATCCACCCCCACGTTTTACAAATCAACTCCATAGACTACATTATTTGTCCATTTCTTGTCTTCATTATATTAAGGTGTTTATTTTTAGTATAGCTTAATGACAAAAGTCAACTCTATCTTCAAATTAAGAAACTAGAGCAGAGAATTTGTCCTAGCCAATCACCTAATAAACTTGCAAAGCACCTGTTAAGGATATAGCACTGAATCAAATCAAGTCCTTACTGCTCAGTGACACAGTTCATAGCAATGTAAGGTCCTGTACTCAGACTGTCTAATTCCCAAACCAGGGCTCCTACTACCAGGTTACCATTTTCCCTAAGTACCCATCCCATAACAAAACTGAACTGAGAAAGAATGACGCGACTTGTCCATGAGGGTGCCCAGGTGGCACAGAAAGTGGAAATCTGAGAACAAGAGCAAGTCGACTCCAACAATGGCACTGAGACTCCGAGTCTGATTGGCTCCTCACAATGATAAAATCCGGATAGGACAAAGCAGTTATCTGGGTTAGCAGATCAATGGACAAAGGGAGGGAGATGACAGCAAACATGCAAAAGTTGAATTAGAAAGTTCTCATCTTTGCTTCCCTTCGGCTGGATCTCATCAGCCCAAATCACTGAAACCAAAGATAGGCTACAGCACACAGTTTCACCAGACAGAAAATGGTCCTTCTTATCCAGAGAACCAGAGTCAGCAGCTTCAGATACAAAGATCCTTTCCTGACCAAGCAAAGGTCTGGTCAAAGTGATACTAATATGAGAATGTAAATGAAGCAAAGAAGTGGAAGTGAAATGAGGATCAAGTTATACCCCCTACCTTGTCCTGAGGCCTGCTGGAGTTCTCCTATTATGCCATTATGCCCCACATCTGATTTTTCTCAAATCAGTTATGTGAGAGGCACATTTCCTGTCATCCCCCTTCAGAAAACAGCTAAATAACCCTTTTCTATACATACAATAAAGCTTTCTATTTCTCTAAAATAAAAAAGTTCATAAATTGAGTAGGGAGGAGGTGTCATTGAGGGGGACATCTATAATACTTTCAACAATAAAGAAAAAAAGATGATGGGAAAAAAAAGTCAATAAACTAATATTTATCATACTGAAGATGAGTAAACTTAACCAAATATTTGCAAAGTATCTCACTTTCAAAAATAAAAGTTTTAAAAGACTTTATTCACAAAGGTTTAGAGATAGACTGAGACAACATTTTAGTATAACAAAAATGACTATACAAATCAAGAAACAAAATGAACAAATCCCCTTAAAAATGCCAATTTGCGTATATCTTATATTCTGGTAAAGAATTTATGTTTTGCCCTGGCTGGTTTGGCTCAGCGGTTAGAGTGTCGGCCTGCAGTCCAGAGAGACCCAGGTTCAGTTCCCACTAAGGGCACATACCTCAGTTGCAATTTGTCCCCGGCCCTTGTTGGGTCGTGCGGGTGGCAACCACTCGATGTGTCCCTTTCACGTCAATGTTTCTTTCTCTCTCTCTCTCTCTCTCTCTCTCTCTCTCTCCCTCTCCCTCCCTCCCTCCCAATCTATCTGAACAAAAAATGGAAAAATGTCCTCGGGTGAGGATAAAAAAAAAAAGAATTTATGTTTTATGCCCTGGCCGATTTGGCTCAGCAGTTAGACCTGCAGTCCAGAGAGACCCGGGTTCAGTTCCTGCTAAGGGCACATATCTCGATTGCAGTTTGTCCCCAACCCTGGCTGGGCTGTGCAGGTGGCGGCCGCTCGATGTGTACCTTTCACATTGATGTTTCTCTCTCTCTCTCCCTCCCACTCTATCTGAACAAAAAATGGGGGAATGTCCTCGGGTGAGGATAAAAAAAAAAAAAAGAATTTATGTTTTATAGCAGTTAATATTATCAAGAGTTGTATAAGAACCTTCCCCCTTTAATATACAATTTTAAAAGTTTTTCTGTGTCATTCATTTTAAGTTTTAGGTTCCCTTTGGTTACATATAAAAATGTATCTTTGATTTTATAATGAAAATCAGCAGAGTTTTATTAATTGAAATTCACTCTGCCTCCAACTTTGCAAGAATATCAATGAAATAAGGTATACTACGAATTAGTTATGTCAGAGAACCATAAGTCAAGACTCTTAATCGCAAGGTAAACTTGTCAAACAATATAAAGTCCAACAGTGTAAAAACCAACATTTGCATTAGCTAAACAGCGGTTCTCAACCTGTGGGTCGCGACTCCTTTGGGGGTCGAACGACCCTTTCACAGGGGTCGCCTAAGACATAACGATAGCAAAATTACAGTTATGAAGTAGCAACAAAAATAATTTTATGGTTGGGGATCACCACAACATGAGGAACTGTATTAAAAGGTCACGGCATCAGGAAGGTTGAGAACCACTGAGCTAAGAGGAAAAATGTGTTTTAAAAAAATTTTCTTCAATACCTGCAGCCTTTAAGCTGGTGTTCAACCAGAAAAAATTTAAAAATATATATTTTTATTGATTTTTTAGAGAGAGAGGAAGGGAGATAGAGATAGAAACATCAATGTGAGAAAGATACATTGATTGGCTGCCTCCTGCATGCTTCCCACTGGGGATGGAGCCCGCAACCTGGCCATGTGCCCTGACTGGGAATCAAACCAGGACCTCTTAGTCCATGTGACGACACTCAATCCACTCACTGAACCATGCCGGCCAGGTGAGATTAAGGTCCTTTTGAATGATTCTATTAAGCATCTCTCTGCTCTCCTCAGATGGGGCATTGGTCTTTTCAACTTACCAGACCCAATCCTGGCTTCTAAGTCAGACAGACATACTGACACTAGGTATC